TATGTAAATGATGCTGTTAACAGTCCCTGCCTTGATAACAAAAAACAAATTTTATCAGAGCTTCACTGGGATACAGTTTCCACTCCTGACACATAGGAGTGAAGTTTAGGTTCTAAAAAAATCTACTTTCAGTCATTTCCTTATTCACATGGCTTTGCCACCACATACAGTATCTCACAGAAGTGAGTACACTGCTCACATTTTTGTACATTTATTATATCTTTTCATGAGACAACATTGAAGATTTGGCACTTTGATACAATGTAAAGTCGTCAGTGTACAGCTTGTACAACAGTGTAAATTTGCTGTCACCTTAAAATAACATCTGTTTTTCAGATCCTCACAGAAATCTTTCCCATGATGTGTCAAGTTAAACTTCCGGTGACCAGTATGAGAGGGTTTGAGAGCAATGACACCAAAATCAACACACCTGTTTCCCATTTGTGTTACAAGGTTATTGTGAGACCTTGTAACACTAACAGTCACATGACACCAGGGAGGGAAAATGGCTAATTGAGCACAATTTGGACATTTTGATTTAGGGGGGCACTCACTCTAGTTGCCAGCGGTTTAGGCAGTAATGGCTGTATACTTAGAGGGGACAGCAAATTTACACTGTTATACAAGCTGCACACTGGCTACTTTACATTATATCAAAGTAAAAAGATATAATACAATATTTACAAAAATGTGAGGGGTGTACTCACTTTTGTGAGATACTGTATGTATTGAAGTCTATAGAAAAATGTCACTCACTTATTTTATGACTTGCAGCTAAGGTGTAAAAATATGAATATTTTAAAACTGAGAAATGTTCAGAAATAAAAGAAACATCTAAATGACTAAAATTATTGTTATTTCTTCACTCTCAAGGGTTTCTGAACAATTAATTTAAAACATTCATCTTTTCAGTCAGATGCAGTCTTTGTGTGAGGTAAAATGTAGATTGCATTGCAGGTCTGTGAAAGATTAACAGTAAACAGTAGACTGACAATGCTGAGTGAGAAGTTTCCACCTTTAGTTTCTCTGGAAGAGGCTGTGAAAGTTTATGAAAGGAGTGCAGCACAGATCAACAGTCAGAGCAGCTCATTTCTAGCCGATGACAGCTAGACCAGCTCCAGTACAGCCATTAACCAGCTGCCAGTTTAGATTTGAGAGACAGAAACCCTGAATTCTCTGCTCTGAAGCTTTTTTTTTGGTTTAATATCTCAGTGAATAAAGATGAAACAGGCCTCACTGGGCCATGTGATGGTCTGTAAATTGCCCAGTTACCTTTGAGTGTCTATAAAAGACTGCGTTTTAAAGTGATTGATAATTTATCTGAGATGTGAGAAAAACATAAAATCTTCAAAAAACATATTTTGTAGAGGCACAGAACCTAGATTAGGAGAAAAGGAGAGCTGTGGTCACTGGCTGATGCATTTTAAGTTCAGACGCATTGCTAAACGGGATGAAGCTAATGTAGTCATGTTATAATATTGTAGATACTGTCTGTGAAATTGGTTAATGGCAAAGTTTGCTGAAACACGCATCAGGAGTAATTTGGGGTTAGGAATCTTGCCCAGGGTACTGGAGGAGCCAGCGATTGCACCACCAGCCTTCTAATTTTGTCCTTCTTTCTCTCCTCTTCAGAACTAGAAAAAGTCTCATGAATTGCTGAATTGTATCATCATGCCTAGATGCCTCTATTTTATTCTCTTCACATTGACTCCAAGCTGATTTAAGACTTCCTTTTAAAGCTCAAAATCTATTATTAGTTGTCCATATAAGAGTGAAGACAAAGGGCAACAGAGCATTTTACACATTAAGGCATTGAGACTCTGGAACAGTTTACCACTCCAGCTCATTTTGGTTACTATGGAGTCTCTTATAAAACAGTTAAAGACTTTTCTCTTTAAATCGGGCCTTCTGCTGACATTCCTTTGTTATTTAGCCACTCTGACGTCCACAGCAGTGTAATCCCAGCTTCTGGTGTGGCGTTCCAAATTCAAAACACTCCCTCCACAGCTACTCCCCAGCTATTCACAAAACGTCTCTGAGCTCTCTCCAACCTCACAGGTTTCCTGGACATTAAAGAAAATAGTAGGTAATCTTCACACGACTTTTTTTTTAACCCATTTACACAGAGAGGCTTTTAATGTTTTGAAAAATTATAGCAATGTTAGATATTATTACACAAGGAAAATCTCCAACCTGGCAGGAGTTTTTAAAAATTGAAATCCGAACATACAGATTAACTGAATTATACTTTTTCAGCAGGAATAAAGTGAACTCAAGCTTTGCAACATTTTTCATTAAAGCATAAAAACAAGTAAAGCAAACCTTTTACACACACATGCACACTGAAACTGATCACTGCTATAAAACAGTGTTAGTGTTTAAACTCGTGACGTGGTTCCTAACTTTATTCATTCTTTCATTGATCTTTGATTTTCATGTGATTGAGGTGTTTAACATTACCCATCTCACCTTGCTTGCCTCATCAGGGGTGAGAGAGACAGAGAGTTATGTGCATAAGTGGTATGTGCTGCCACGCACCATTTAGACTACAGAGTAAATGTACAGTCTGTGGCTGAGCGAGTGGCATGTGTGGTTCTGAACACTTCATAAACTGTTTGCTGGTCAAACTGACTGGTGCTCCTGATAACCCGACTCCATACCATTAGGGCTGCCACAAATAATTATTTTAATAGTCAACTAGTCACTGATTATATTTGCGATTAGTCGAACAATCAGATCATGCATCCAATGGACGTAAAACGTACAGCTTATTGCAAATATATGATGTCTTGATAAACCAAGCAGATATTTGAAGTTTACACAGCTACATTCTTGCCTGAAAATATCTTAAAAGTTTATTTTGTGACCCAGAAAGAGTAACCCTAAATCTGGGGAAAAGGAGGACGCATTTGTTGGCCGCATTTGAGTCTTTGAATTTGGACAGACTTTGTCGTGTCGCTGTAATGTAGTTGGCCAACAAATGCGGCCTCAGGAGGATGCAGCCCCTGAATTTGGACGCAGCTATGATGCTGGAGACTGCTTCTTCTTCTTCTTTGGTGTTTAATAGCAGCTGGCATCCTTGTACATGCAGTGCTGCCATCTTCTGTTTCAGTCCGTTATTACACTCTTAAATCCTACTACTTATCCTGCATCTTTCGGGATCTTACAAAGCTTCAAATGACGCGTCAACTATTAAATTAGTCGTTGACGATTTTGATAATCGACGTAATCGTGGCAGCCATACATACCACACAGAGAGAGGATAGTAAAAAAGTACAGCTCAGTCAGCTTCAGTCGTCCTGCTTAAGAAAGGCAATAAAAGCAGCTTTTAACAACCATCTTTTCCTCACCACTGAAAAGTTCTCACTGCACTGAAACTTTAAAATCTTCACTATTAACTATTTTGCTGCTCAAAGCTAAAGCTACACATGACACAATGCATTTAGGTTATCTCGTGGAAATGAAACTTTCAGTTTATTTTTTGTTGTTACACTGATTTATGTTATCATCCAACATAACTCTAATACAAATAAATACTTTTCTTTTAAACGTTGAGAGGCTTTGTGAACTTAAAGTGCTGTTCAGTCTGCACTGAACACATGACCTGATCCAGAGCAAGTTTTGCTCAGAGTTTAGGTTGAAATCACATTTTCACAGCATGCTCGAAGT